ACTAGTAACAAGTGCCTCGCTAGTAGTAACAAGTGCCTTACTAGTAGCAACAAAAAGCTATTGGAAATATAATAGAAAATTAATAGCTTCTTGTTACTACTAGTAACAAGTGCCTTACTAGTAGTAACAAAAAGCTATTGGAAATATAATAGAAAATTAATAGCTTCTTGTTACTACTAGTAAGGCACTTGTTACTAGAAGCGATGCAGTTCGAACAGGGTCAGGATGAGAGACGATATGAGATGTGTCCAAACCCCAAGGCTTTGGGAGCGCTTGAAGCGCTTCAGACGGAGGCGTCGTTGGGTACAACTCTGCAAGCAAGGTCAAACATATATTCTGTGGGAAACGACTTACTGGTCGTCCTCTCGCAAATTAGGAATTTGATAGCTACCAGGGTGGAGGCCATCGCTAGTAGCGCTAGTAGGACTCCTAGTAGGTCGGAGGCCATTGCTAATAGGTTCCTTTGGCACTATGTCTTCGACTGTTTCATTCCTCACTGTGTCTTTGGCCGACCCGTTCAAGGTGGATGCCTACTCCGACGATGGGCTCTGAGGGTCTCAAACCTCGGCCAATGCCCACCAGCGAGCTCTCGGGGAGACCAGTGAGGCCGCCTTCGGACAGGAAAACTTGTGAAAAACATCCAGAGTGATTGCCGGCAACCTAAGAGTGATTCCAACCTACAAGCCATGGCCTCCAACCTAAGAGCGATGGCCTCCAACCTACTAGCGTTTTCAATTCTTTTTACATCTTGGAAAAGATGTTTTTTATCGAAATTAACATGGGTCTCTCCGAGTACTCTTCATTCTTCGAGGCAGCGGAGCAGGCACACTTCGCGGGCCTTGTTCGAGGTGCCATGTGGCGAGCAGTGGCGACGTACAAGACTGTGGACGGGAAATGGGAAAGAACAGAACATAAAAAACAAGGTCTTGAAACATCTTGAAACTGAAACACTTAAAGGTGTCGCTTTCTTTAGACCTTTAATTACGCACCCATTTTTAGTTCCTTCGTTTATATGTAGTTCGTTAGAAACAACTTCCAAGCAACTACCTGGCTACCTACACTACCTAACACCTAACTAGCTACGAGCTAGTTGTGTCCTTCTTGGTGTCGCTACTTTACGAGCTTTTCTTACGCAGGCTTTCTGAGAAAAGCACACAACTTTCAGACGTGTTCGAATGTAACACAGGCTGCCTGTGGTTTAAGCAAACATTGCAACACTACAGCGAGAGAGAACCTACTAGCGATGGCCTCCACCCTAGTAGCGCTAAGCCACGCAACTGTAGCAGGGCTTCAGCCCGTGACTAGGGCGTACGTCCTGGTGAGACACGTTCTGAGACGAAGGTAGCAATCAGTGTTTTCTTCAATGCGAGGTCTTAAACATGCCGTTTATGATACTCTTCTTGTCCACGTCCAATGCCGGCCTGATGACGTTTTTGTTGTTTTCTTGCGGCTGGGTGGTTCGTTGCGACTCGGATGAGTTGTGTTGTTCTTGTTTCTTGTGAGGCCTTGCTTTTATAGGTAGATGGAAACCTGCGGCCTACTTGGCTGTTTATCACCGGCGATGTTCTTGGCAGTGATCTTTCAACCAAGAAAGGTCAGTTGCGTCCAGCTAGTGTTCTTTGCTGTTGCAGGCAAGGATGGGCCGAAGGACTGAGAGAGGTTTCAACATTAAACATGAAGAACTGAAGAACTGTTTTAAATGTAAATCCAAACTATCTAATTAAAACCAATATTTTTCATAAAATGTAAATCTTTTTCTAATCTACTTCTAATTGCAATGGCCTCCAACCTATAGAAGCCATGGCCTCCAACCTAGAAGCGATGGGCCTCCAACCTAATAGCGACGGT